TTGCTTTTCTATTCCTATTCCTTCCAGCTAATAAATGACAGCCCTTTGCATCATCTTGACATTCATTCTTACTTCTTCAGCTCACCTGCCTCTCCTCAGTCTCTAATTCTGCATCATTTTCATTGATGAATGATGAATGGAGTTGGCACACTTAGCCCCTCTATGTAAGGGGACACAGGAGTTAGGACTGAGGGAAGAAGGAAGGGGAGGAGGCGGAAGAAATCACAAATGCTTTGTAATGTATGGTCCTTTCTTTTATTCTTATTACACAATGAAATTCTCATATATTATTTATGCGGGGCTACGTGGAAGCTCTTTGGGAAAAAATATGTGGCAAATTGTAAAGGTAAATTAATGAAAAAAAATTTTAAGGAAGGAGATTATTGCCCCTCTACCTTCTCCTCTTTATGGTGTCATCTGAGGACATACTAGGCATGATATAAATGACCTTTGGTTTTGTTTAAATATTTCTTTATTGATTTGGGAGAGGAAGAGAGAGATAGAAACATCAGTGATGAGAGAGAATCATTCATCAGCTGTCTCCTGCACGTCCCCCACTGGGGACCGAGCCTGCAACCCAGGCATGTGCCCTTGACCGGAATCGAATCTGGGACCCTTCAGTCCGCAGGCCGAGGCTCTATCCACTGAGCCAAACCTGCTAGGGCACCCTTTGTTTTTAATATATATTTTTTATTGTGATTTTAGAGAGAGAGGAATGGAAAAGGAGAGAAACATCGTTTGGTTGCTTCCTGTACACAAGGGCCCGCAACCTGGGAATGTGTCCTAATTAGAATTGAATGGGGGAACCACACTGGCCAGGGAAGTCTGACCTTTTGATCTTACAAAGTCATAGTCCTTCTGTAAACACTTAACTCTATTTAGCTCAGACATCTCTCATGGGTATAATGAGACAGACACAAAGTACATCCTCCTATCTCTTATGGAGATAAGTTTTCATTGATCTCTTCTACCCTTTTGTATAAATTTGTGTGAAAATCTCTCCAGACTGTGTAGTCACTTTTGTGTTACCTTGCATGAATGTTATCACTGATAATGCTTACCCAATTAAAATGATGTTCTTTTTCTTCTATATTAGCACAGAAGGATCTTTTGTTGGAGTCTTTCTGTTTTATTTTCCCAACACTAGGATCACCCTACAAAAATTGTTTCACCTATCTAACTATATTTCTTATTTCCTCTCTCCCCTCAGCTCAGGTAATACACAAAGTGCACTACTCCTGGGTGACGATAGCCTTAGGTAACACCTAGTACTGCTCAGTTACCTCCTTATTCCATGTAGATACCAACAGATGATTATTGAAACTTGTTGTTCTGCTTTGGCTATCTCTGTATGCATTCTTGGTAGAGGCTGCTAGAAGGTCTCAGAAATGACAGAAGGACAGTGGAACAGAGTTTGGGAAGTGTGTGTGTATTCCGCAATGTGGGATGTGGAGTTGCAACTCATCCATCCAGTTACTCAAGCCACAAACCTAGGATTCAGCCTTCATATCACTTTCCTTCAACCATCACATCCAATAATTCCACATTCAATCCAAATCTCAAATCCATGCACTTCTTCCATTCTCGCTACTTCTACCCAAGTTCAAGCCACTATACAACAGCCTCCTAACTGGACTCCCTGTTTCTCTTCTTGTTCCTCACTATAGCCGCTGATATAATCTTTTAAAAACATATAAATCACAAGATGTCACTCACTAACTCTTGAATGGCTTTCAATCATATTCAAATTAAAATCCAAACTCCTCACCTTAGAAGCCCCAAACTTCATTTTGTACTTCTCTGCCCTTACTCACCAAGCCTCAGCCACACTGGCTGTCTTTCAGTTCCCATCAAGTGGTTGAAATGTACTTCCCCCTGGTTTTTACATGTCTCCTCTTAAAGCCTCACTTTAACTGTTACCTTCTTAGAGAGGACTTCCTTGATTAGTTATGCTGTCCTCTATCACATTGCTGTGTTTTCCCTGCACAACATTTATTTCTAATTGTTTCTTACGTGTATATTTTCAATGACTCAATTGTTCAAAATTTTGTTGAGTGAATAAATGGTAAGTTCTACTCCTTTATCTCCTAGACGGAAGATAAGAAATACTGAGTAGGGAACGAGACTCTAAGAACTTTATTTCAGATTATTTTTAACTTCCTCACAATAGCTGTTTTATCTTTTTTAAATTTCTCTGGCATGATTAGCCATGTAACTCTTTCTATAGAAAGTACTTATGTTCCGAGGCAGCTAGGAAGAATGGTCTGAGGACTTGTAACATATATGTGAAGGCTTGAAGAAATAACACCAAAGGATGGGATCGGTGGTGGTGACTTTAAACAGGAAAGGACGGTATGCTGAATCCATGTAGCCGCCTACAAAAACGAAAAAAAGAGTCAAAGTAGGAGCTGATAAATATCCTGGGGCTTAACAATGGAAAGGCCCATGGGGCTTCCCTGTGCCCACCCCCAGCCTCTGACTCCATATTCATCTTCTTACTGTTTTCCTAGCACAACATAATCCTGCCTTGGACTCATACTGAAAGCACCATCACCACCTCTCTCCCAACCAGATCCTTGGGATTCAGACACAGCTCCCCACTCCCTTTTTGAGAAGTTATTCCTTAAAGACTTTAGTCTACTCAGGACCCTTTCTTCTCTGGCCTCCTTGTCTCAAGAGAAAAAATTGTGTAGGAGCTCATTGTTCTCTATTCATTTTTGTTTGTTTGTCCTTTACTATTACTTGTTTTATTTTTACACTAAAGGCCCGGTGCATGAAATTCATGTGGGGGGAGGGGGAGTTCTCTCAGCCCAGCCTGCGCCCTCTTGCAGTCCCGGAGCCCTCGCTCCTTACCACCCGCCTGCTTGCTGCTCCTTACCACTCGCTTGCTGCTCCTTAGGGCTGCTGCAAAGGCAGGAGAGGCTCCCGCTACCTCCTGGTGGTCAGTGCACATCATAGCAACCAGTCGTTCTGGTCATTCCGCCATAATGGTCGCGTAGGCTTTTATTTTATAGATTTGCTTTTTTTTTTTTTTTTACTAAATATTTGGTTTTTATATCAATAAAGGTCATAACCACTCTGCTGACATATAATACTGTTATGATACAACAGTTAAACTTGTGAGCCTACAACAGAAGTTGTTGGTAGTTCAACAGGAAACACAGTTGAAAAGTCCATGTTAAAACAAAACTACTGGGACTAATGGGACTCACAGGTCAGAGTTGGAAGTAGCAATAAACATAATCCCTCAGCTCCTGAGTATTTCAAGTTTTACAGTACACATAAAAAATTATTTCTTCCAGCCCTAGCCTGCTTTGCTCAATGTTTAGAGTGTCAGCCCTCGGACGAAAGAGTCTCAGGTTCAATTCCAGTCAAGGGCATGTACCTCTGTTGCAAGATCGATCTAGGCCCCATTTGGGGTGCGTGGGGAAGGCAACCAATCTATGTGTCTCTCTCTCTCTGTCTCTCCTCCTCCCTTCCACTTTATTTAAAAATCAATGGAAAAAAATACCCCTGGGTGAGGATTAACAACAAAACGATTTCTTCCATCAACACTAGAAATTCAAATTGTTGGATGTTTATGCATTTTTCAAGTTACACTGATTCAGATGCTTATATGGGAGTAAGGGTTGGAACGTCTCCCAATTTAAAGTTTACTTGAGCTTTTGTCTTAAGCTAAGAATCCTATATAGTGTTGAACACAAAATAGATATCCATAAATTTTTTGATTAATTGAATAGCTTCACACTCTGAGGGAAGAAACAGGAAGTAAAAACTAAAAGGAGAAGGAAGAAGATGCAAAAAAAAATGGGACCTAGCATGCAGGCAAAGGAAGCAGAGATTGAAAGAGGGGTTGCGGGGGAGACAATAAGTCAGCTTTCAGTGTAAAGACTTAAAGTTTATGACACATTGTCAATCAGCTAAAATGAAACTTGACAGGAAATGGGCAGAAACGAAAATGACCACAGGCCAACTTATGCTCATATGTTAAATCTTTTCACTGCCTTGCCCTATTTGCGGCTACCTCACAGGCTCAAAGTCAGCCAGGTTATGTTTTGTTCCTCATGCATCTATTGAGTTATCAACAGACTGATTTATACACAGCTGTGGACATCAAGCCAGATGGGCCCTCCTCTAGCACCTCTTTCTTTTTAAATGAATCAAAGTTTACTATGGGGTATAAGTAAGTGGGAAACGACGGAATCTCAGGATCTTTTATACAGTCCCATCAGGAGCAGCTTCTGCCATTCTTCTCCAGAAACCAACTTATTTTTAAAACACTCACTGGGGGGTCTGCCATTTTATGAGGCAAATAGCTCTTATTCCCAGCACCTAGCATAATACCTGGTACAGGTCATGTGTTTAATACATTTTTGGATACTGACTGGTTAAACGAATGAAGGAATCATGGTTCCAACCTTGGATCTACCCTCAGTTGACCTTAAGTCAAAGCACAGACAAATGGGAAATAGGACAGATGAAAAGAGAACATTGTTAAGGGAGTAGAGTACCAGAAGTTTTCTGTTCTGTTTATCTCCATCCAGATTTATAGAAAATTATTTCAATATGATGGGAAGTGTAGACCCTCGAATACAAACATGAAGACCCAGATCCTGGCTCCAATATGTGTGCTTTTCCATGATCACATCTTTGCATCTATCACCCTGGACTGTAAGTATCTGTCTTGCCATTAGACGGTGAGCTCTGTGAGGACATTTTCCACCCCATAGTAAGCACTCAATAATAGTAAATCACCTAATGGAGATTGTAGCCTCCTGGAGGGGAAGACATAGTCCGCTGTATAAAGTCAGGATCCTTAGTTGTGGGAAAGAAAAGCTGACTCCTGCCGATGTAGTAGAAAAGGAGTGTGTTGAAGATACTGGGTAGCTCTTAGAATTGTCAGAGGGTGTAGAGAATCATGACTAAAGCTAAGCCTCCAAGAACAATGCAAAACAAACAAACCACTGCGGAACGAGTCCAATGGGGAAACGGTCTCCGTTGCAGCTCCCTACCAATGCTGCTTCTGCATCGGCAACCCAGTCTTGCAACCACAGAGACACTGCCGGCGCTGCTGCCAACGCCGGCCAACTCTGCCGTTACCCATTTTAGGAAACTGGAAGTGCCACACCGAGCCCGTTCCCCCTGGCTGCTCACACCTGCATTTATGTTTCACATGAGGGAGCCGGACTGGCAGAGCCTCAGTCACATTGTTTAGCCCAATTGCTGGGGATCTGAGTTCTAAATAAAGGAAAGCTATTCAAATGATGATGGGGATCCATAGGTAGGACAGATGTCCACTGCCCCATAGCAATATGTGATAGGAGCTCAACACGAGTTCTGCATTCAGGCATAGGTTTCTGTGCTCATGGAGCTTATATTCTTGTAGGAGAGACAAACAATAAATATAAATGAGCATAATGATGGACAGCACTAGTTGCTACAAAGACAAATAAAACTCTTAGGGTATTCAAGGAAAGCTTTTCTGAGATGAGCAGAGGCCTGAATGATGCAAGGAAGCAGCAAGCTCTGGGATGGAAACTGATCCGCAGCCAAGGACCATGTCATGTAGGCCCATGCAGGCCATGAAGACCCAGACCCTGGCTTTGGACTTGGAAAGGTGGCAGGGGAATGGCCTGATCTGACATTTGTAGAAGGATCACACTGGCTGCCGTGTGAAGAACAGATTAGAAGGGAAGCAGGTGGAAGCAGGGAGACCAAACTGACCAGAGTATGAGCAGAGAGATTAGAGCACAAAAAGCTGCCCGGGTATCCCGGCTGGTGTGGCTCAGTGGTTGAGCATCGACCTATGAATCAGGAGGTCACAGTTGGATTCTCAGTCAGGGCACATGCCCAGGTTGAGGGCTTGATCAGTGGGGGGCATGCAGGAGGCAGCTGATTAGTGATTCTCTCTCATCATTGATGTATCTGTCTCTCCCTCTCCCTTCTTCTCTGAAATCAATTTTATATATATATTTCTTTTTTTTCTTTTTTAATCTGCCCAGGTGGTTGGGGAGAAGATAATATAAGAAAGGAGTCCTGGGAGATGAGTGAAAATTGCCCAGGAGAAGAGGTCAGAAGGCCTCTGGGACAAAGGGAAGAACAGGAGCAAAGACAGGAGCATGGAAAGCCCTGGCATATTTGCAGAACTTTCAGCAGCCTGGTGAGGTTACAGAGGGATCCAGACATGAGGCTGGGAAAGTGGGGGACAGCTAGGCTGCCGAGGGCTTCCCTGCTGCCTTTTTAACCTTTCATGTCACCAAAGTGTTGATGCAGGGATGGGGGCAGAGCCTGAGACAAAACTCTGGCTAGATTTTCCCCAGGGAGCCCAGACCTCTCACAGGAGTTCCTAAGAGGGCAGAAAGGGCACAGTGCCGTGCCCTTTTCACCTCTCCTCAGACTAGACAAAACATGGCCAACCCACAGGTTCATGTGATTACCAACGTGAAGCTGGGCACACACACCCACCCCTCTCCGCGGCACAGACATCAGACAGCAGAGAAGGTCTGAGAGCTTCTTCGTCGCGGTCAGCCCCAGGAGAAATTGTCAAGCAGACATCTCGTCCTCCATACTTTCTCATTTTCACTTCTGCGGGCATCTCATATTCCACTCCGGATCCCAGAGAGATGTACACTGAGCCTTACAGGGAGTGTTAGATGTGGGTTGGTGAAGAGCATGGAAGAGGAGGAGGGCTTTTCAGAAAGAGAGAACAACGTGTGCCAAGGCCAGGAAGCACCGTTGTCCATGGGCAGTCGAACCAAGGCCGGAAGGTCGTTGGAGCCTGGGTTGGGAAATGCTTGGACAATGTGGTAAGCAGTCACCAGGACAATTTATTCGTAAACCAGATGCCCCAATTAAATGGGTGACCAAAAGTTAAATGTGCAGTCCTTGCTTTTTGCCCAGGGTGGATGCCAGGGAGTATTTACTGGGTTTGGTTAAATCAACAGGTGGAAGTTTATAACTTTAGGATAAATTGCCCAAGTTAATCTCCATGTCAGGTCATCTTCATAGTAATAGACTTACCTCAAAACAGAAAGTACTACCTTTCGTAACACATTTTTGGGAATTGCAATGCAATGCGGCCTTTATTTCATACATAAACTCTGGATCCAAAGATCAGCAACATGTAGAGCTTTGCAGGTGAGGGGTTCTCCTTGAGTTTAAGTGCCCTGGGTCCTTCTGTCTTCCATCTCAGCTGAGTCCCAAACCAGGACTCAATCTTTGTCTTGCTCCTGTATCAGCCACGGTTGCTACAGGTCCAGTCACAATTCTGAGCGGAAACAAGATGCAGATTTTAGAAGCATTGCAAGTCAAAACAGGTGAGTAGAAATGGCACCAAGGGCTTAACCAAAAACTATTCAAAGCAGGCTATTCCATCTGAACTGGGACAGCTGACACCAAGGCGAGAAGACCAGGTTAGATTTGTGTAACCTCAGCCTTGATGGCCATACTGGCCTGCGAAACGCTACCAGCTCTTCTGTACCCCTCATCCCTGCCCACTCCACTGATCTCTTTTTGCACAAATTGTATCTTTATTGCAAGGATACAGCAAATGCAGGGAACCTGTGGAAGAGGATGGGGTACAATTTGGGGTATCGAGATCATGTGTTTTACATATGAACGTAAGCAATGAATTTCCATCACCACCACCCCCCCCTTCCCGCCCAACTTAGTCTGGGTCCAGAAAGAAAAGCGCTGATGGCCAGGACCTCGCAGAGGGCATCCCATCCACTCTGAGCCTCTCCCTTCACCTCCCTGCTTTGCTGCCTTTGCCTGCAACTCCCCACCCACACCCCCACGCCCCCTCCCCTCCCCCGTGCTTCACGCGAAAGCTGCTCTTCAAAGACATCCTTCCGGGCGCAGCGAAGCCCGGCGGGCTCTGCATCCGGAGGGGCCGCGGCGCTCGCTTTTATCGGA